GTCACAGGTTCAATCCCCACACCATGCAAAGCGAAGCCCGGTATTTAAGTGGAGAAGGGTAGAGGGGCGGGCCCATTATCCACCGAGTTTAGAAGGCTGTGATTGGTCCAAAGGGCGGGTCACAGACGGATTTCTCGGTTATCAAAAAAAAAAAAAAAAACTATTTAATTACACTGATTTTATATTTGAAATTTTATTTAGTTCTTACATTCTATTTTACAGTTGATGACACTCTCTTATAACTGTAAGATTGTAGGAGCATTTTTTGACATGTTATACATGTTTGCATTATTGCATTGTCAAATATATTTCTTTTTTTATATTCAATACTGTGTTAAATACTATTATATAAAATAATATAGCTAGAGCTACCTTGGTCAGTGCGTGTTGAATGCCTGGCGGAGCCTCTTGGCATTGATTGACCAAATCAATGTCCATTGCCAGAACCTTCAAACTCAATAGAAGTATGCTAAGGCATTTAATGTATGTGAAGTTGAGGTTTATTTTGATTCAATCAACTATATTTAAATCAGATATACTATTCAGGCGGATTCACCTACCCTAGTAATACTCTCGTCAAATCACACTTTATCGTTTGTCCAGGATAGGAGATACCATACTTGTTCCAAAAAAGAAAAAGAACGGGAAAAAAGAAGAAGCATGTGATAGCCTTGTGAGAAATAAGAGTTGACAGCAAAGAAAGAAATGATTATATTAGGTGCTTTGTATATAACTGTTGAGCAAGTCTGTACGGGTACTTAAGCTAGTTATGTTTCACATTGCAATTAGGAGTCCTCCTATACGGAGATACACTTCTTACTTACACATTAGAGGCTTATCTCATTGAGGATCGAATCTGCTTAATTCTTACCCTTTTTTGGCAATCATTTTCTTCTGGGGCTCCACCAGCATTGTCTTGGTGCTCGGCCAGTTATATTCATAAAATTAAATACAAAACATACATTACCTATGTACACGTCTAAGGTGAAACAGACTAGCTACATTGATGGAGCCAGCCTCTTGAAATTATATGTGCAATAGGTTATGATTTTCTTCACTTGCCATCATTTAGGTATATGTTTTTATGCCCTCCCTGACAGGTACTAGCTAATCAGAGGAAATGCCAATGGAATTGATGATGGATGCAAATGAGTTAAGATGTTGACATATGGGTGCATTTTGCTACTAAACTTACTAATGTTGAAGATTTTACTCTTCAAATTATGGAGTAGTCTAGTTTCTCTTTCAATTGGTCTAGTTGCACATCCGTCCAACATTAGCTAGTTTAGTTGCAGAATATACCCGTAAATGTCTAAGCGACGGTGGTTTCTTTGGATGTTTATTCCACTATCACTCGATTTCACCTTCCCCAGTAGTGAAAATCAAAATGGTGCTCTTGATTACCAGAAAAACCAGAATTTCAGGTATGAGAAGTGTTATCCTAAAAATGTTGATTTATGGATACATTTTTCTACTCAACTTGCTACTGTTAAGAATTTACACTTGCACTTTTCTGCATAAATGACTAAAGGTATGAGTTTCCTCAGTTTGCATATAAAAATTCATTGTTGTGGAATCTGGTTTTATGACATTGTCAACTGAACCCTTGTGGTATTGTTAAACGGAGTTATCTCGTTGAACAGAAGATTGAAACAAAACCTTTTGAACTGAATCTTCGAGGATGAACTATGAGAATAAAGAGTTTTCAATGGACAGAACAACATTAAAAATTTGGGTTGATTTATGATTATGTAGTTTTCCAAAGTTCTTAAAGTTCATTGTTGGATAATAGCTCTCTGTCTATATACTGCATTTTGCATCCTCTGAATGTTGTTGAATGAAGTTCTACTTGTTGACACCCAATTTTGACCCTCCACGATAGAAATTAATTTTCGAACTTCTTAATTTCAAACGATTTGAAATAATTAGTTTTATAAAAATTCAAAATGTTTTAGAGGTTTTGATGATTTTTATTCATTTCTACAACATTTTAGATGATAAATATGTTTTTACGTGGTTAGTATATTTTATAAAATCATCTCCAAAGACGTTACATTTTAGTTAAGTGTTTTATTAATTCGCTTTAGTTAAGTTATAGTTATTATTTTCAAGTTTTAAAATAGCCTTGTAAATTTTATAACTTTTGAATAATAAATTTGCTTTATATAATTATATATATTATTAGTATGTTTTTTTTATAAATATTTGATAATCATCCCCAAAGATTTCACATTTTTCAAGTTAAATATTTTATTAATTTAGTTTGGTCTAAGTTATAGTTGTAATTTTGAGTTAATTAATTTGCATCTAATTTAATTATGTTTTAGTTAAATTAATCAATGACGTTAAAATTAAGAAGTTTGCTAACTAATTAGATAAATTCATCTTATTTAGATTTTAGCCGAAGTCGCAAATTAAATTCAATGTGGCTATACCTTATTAACGATTTTAGCTATCTCCTTTTACCCCTTTTTAAACCTTTAAAAACAAGTAATGGGCCCTCTTCCTTTAATTTTCTAGCAGCACTTTACTGCTCCCAAGCCCAACACCAATTCCCTTCTCCAACACGCTGCAAATCATCAGCAGCAGCCCACCAACAATTATCCCGACCCGCCCCACTTCTTCGTCCCAGCAAGAACGAAGCAACCCAGAAAATCCTCCAACGCCAACATACAACTCCAACTTCACGACGTGAGCAACGGCTCCAAACAACATCGATTTTCCGTCAAAATACACGGAGCAGCAAGGGACAGAGAGAGTACACTGCAAATTTTGTTTGTTTCTCCCCGTCTCTCTCCAACTCGTACAGTCGGAGCAGCAGAGGAAGAGGCACGCATTTTCTCCCCTTTCCTCTTTCGGAATGGGGAGAAATTTGCAAGAAAAGGTGTCTCTCCTTAATTGTGAAAGAATTTTAAAATTTGAATTGGGGATGGGCCCTTTTCTGTCCGGATTTTTTCATCCGCTTTCCACCCAAAAAAATCGAAACTCTAGTTTTTCTTCTATATATTCCCCTTTATTCACTGTAAAGAGGGAGGTTTTCTTTTGGAGTTGGAAATTTTGAGTTAGAGAAAAATTAGAGATAGAGTTGGAAAATATAGGAGGTCCACTAATATACAGAGAGAATAAGGTCATAAGAACAAAGAAAAGAAAGGATTAGAGACCTTACATACGAAGACACAACATATACATACATAGAAATGCATACATAATAGGAAAAGAGATGCTACGGGGACTTGGAGTCTAGATTTCGGATTTGCTTTCTCTTTCTCTCTTCCGCCGGAGTTCATCTATTGGTGGTGGAATTGTCTCCAACAGCTCGAGTTCCAAGTTCGCTGCCCAAAAGAAGGTAACACTCCTCTCTCGATAGCTTTCTCTTCATCTCTTCTCTTATCTCGTTCTGTTAATGTTTGAAAATCTCTATTCTGTGGTTGATCTCATTGATGTGTGTCGTTGAGGTTTTGGGTAGCTTGAATATGATGTGTTTATATTTCTTATGCTGCTTCATGATCTAGTTTCAATGTTGAGTGTTTGCCGTTTTGGCTTTTTCGTGCTGTTGATTCTGTATTTGATCTTCTTGGAATTTATGTTGTTGTTTTCCTCATTTATTTTTGAATGCCGAATCTGCCTTCTCATGTTTACAGTCTGTCTTCAATGATAAGTCGTTATTCACATAGGTTTAAGTTTCAAGATCAACTGATATGGTTAAACATATGTGGCGTAGTCGCATTCTTATTTTGACATCTTATTTTATCTATTGTTAAATACCATGGAATCACTTGCTATTTAGCTTAGTACTTTATCGTGTTAGGTGTTACTGTTATATAGTTTCATACTCCAATTATACTTTGTTCCTTCTGCCTCTTTGTGATCATGATTGCTTTATTTTGTTATGATTCTTCTGTTAAACCTAAGTGTGCTTAGTTGCAATTGATTTTCCTTTAGGAAGTTTTAAGAAGTGATGCTATTCTACCCTATTTTTTTTTTTAGTTGTTGTTTACCCATTTTTTTTTTCCTTTTTAGGACTCTATAAATTCATTCAAATTTTAAAATTTGTATAAGAATTTCACTATGATGATTGAAATTTTCTCGTGCTACTTGTCCTTGCCTTGTGATTATTTTTCCCTTTGCTCTTCAAATGGCCTAAGTTGATTAGATTATGTGAAGATGTGTTTAACGAATCAATGCCCGGGTTTCAAATTTGATGATTTTAATCTTTAGTTGTTTGTTTTGTCTACTATTATTTTGGTTGATATACTTCGCATTAAGTGGGTTCTTGTCGTGATTAAATGCCATATGAGATATTTTGTTTCCTTGTAAGGTTTAAAGCTTGGAATAATAAATTTTGTGTTTATCCAATTTGCTGATGTCATCTATATCTTATGCTTTTTTTTTATCATGTATATCTTTTGTGTTTGCATGTGAATCCCGTCGAGTGAGTCCACTGGGCCCTTCCATTTCTCCGATGCATTTTAGTTTTTGAGCCAAAGAGGTTCAAATCTCATTTTATCAAGGAACAGGTCCCTAAAAGTCGGTGTACAGGTCTCGGAGCAGAAAGAGAGGCTGAATACGCATGATATACAGCGATATACATCAGCCATATACGCTGTATATTGCATTGAAAATGGGCTAAATAGCCTCAAAATTTCAGCTTCGTATTTTGCTATTATTGGGCCTAAGCCCCTTCTATTTAATTATATTCTTGTTAGTTTGTAGGACAGGTGGAAATAGGGTCAAAGGCCCAAACAAAGTCAATTTCAAAACTAATCTAGGACAAGTACTAAATATTAGGCCTTTGGTTCCAAAACAGAAATTAGGCCCAAGTACTGGCCCAGGCGGACAGAACCAGACTTGGGCCCAAATCTTTCTTCCCTTTATTTGCTCGTTTATTTGTTATTGTGTTTTATTTGTTTAATTAATTTTAAGGTTCTTCTCTAATTCAATTCCCCAAAAGATGAACCAACTATATCTTTTAAAATAAAAATAAAAACAAGTCTATTTTATTTTACTTGACTTTAAAATATCTAGTACTTAAGTAATATCCTTATATTCTCTCTCTTTCCCATTAAAAACATTTTTCAAGTGTCAAAGTGTTGTCTCTTCAAACAGAGTTTGCTTTTATTTTAAAAACAATTAGCCAAATAGTTAATTATCGGATAATCGCATGTTAGCGGACATTTTGGGTGCTTTCGAACTCTTCTCGAAATGTTAATATGAACCCCGAACCCCCTTGAATATTTTCATTAGATTTCTGTTTTAATCTTTTGAAAAAAAAATGGTTTTCTTGATTTTTCTCAAAAAATTAAGTGGCGACTCTTAAACCAGTACAATAATATTTTTCTAATAAAACACTTCTTTTTCCTCATTAAAAGAAAACGTCATCTTTGAATTTTCAAACCAACCTAGAACACTTATGTGACAAAAGACGGTCTTATAGTCCAAGTTGCATTTACAAAGTATCCACAATTTTCATGGCATTTGTTAAGTATGCTGCATTTCTTTGTTTTGACATATTTGGTTTATAAGTGCCTGTCTATACTAGTGTTGAAAGGGTGGTGGTCTCCACCATCTTGCCGGAAAGTTTTACTACTTAATACAGCCATAGTACTGTTGGACTTCCCTGGATTTGACAGCTTTCTATAGATCTTGAGACGTTGGTGATTGACCGGAAACCAAGAGTAAGTTTCCTTTATATCAACAAATTTCTGATCTTAAGTACTGCAGGAAAATTATCATTTTTTTAAAATGTAAACAATCATTTTGGTATAATTGTTAGAATATGATAAAAAGTTGCAAAGAGGGGGACTTGACTGGTTACCTCTTCAAATAAAGGTAAGAATTGAACCAGTTCAATCCTCAAGTAAGGATTAAGATAGAAAAGGGTTAATCTTTGACAAAAGTGTAAGAGATAAGCCTTGAATGTGTAACCAAAAAGAATGTTTGATGAGCTATTCAACAATAACTTCCAACTTGTGTGGATTTCTTCCCCTGTTCATTGTTCCCGTAAGTGCTAAAATAGAGAAAAAGTGAGAAGATTATTGTCAAGTAACACGTGAAATGAAATGCATTAGTTAATATTGAATTTCCTTAGTCATTTTAGTGCTTGTCTGAACTTCCTTGATTTCCAATATTAATATACTCATTTTCTTCTATTCCACAGCTATGCTGGGCAGGTGCAGTTGTATTACTAAAATCTTGTTTAACTTGTCAAAAAGCAGAAAACATTATGCTAGTTTGGTACTTAAAACGATCCAGAAAGGGACCATTGATCCATGGAAGAGGTCCTTCCCCGTAAAGATAAATATAGTTAATGTTTGATGCAACATCTATTGGAAGAAATATGATAATAGAACGATCGCAGGTGGAAAAATTTCTGATTTAGGACTGACAATTGTAACTACATTGATGGAGCCATCCTCCTGAAAATTGTATGTGCAATAAGTTATCATTTTCTTCAATTGCCATCATTTAGGTATGTTTCTGTGTCCTTCCTGACAGGTACTAGCTAAATGCCAATGGAACTAGTGGTGGATGCAAATGGGTTGAGATGTTCGTATTGTAGCATCTTGTGTGGCTTGCTCCGGAGGACAGAGGGCCACTACTTCAGAACAAGATGACACATATCAAACAACTCATTGAAACAATGGTCAGACACCCCTTTTTCCATTGATCTTGAATAAGTCTGATCTGTTTGAGGAGAAGGTCGCTCGTGTACCATTGGACTCTTATGAGTGATTCAACGATTCTAGTCTAGTGCGGGACTCACCATAGTAACCAGTCACTAGCAAAACAATCATATTATTATGTCGCAATGATGTTTAAAGACCTCTATGCTTCTCTCACACATAGAAAGCTATTTGTGTGGCAAGCTCAGGCAATAGACCGAGTGACAGCTGATGAGGTGTTCAAGTATGTAAGTTAGGTTGTGAAGTGGGACGAGAAAAAGGAAGAGACCTACTATGCCACATAATGATATCACCATGACCTAGTGGGACTACATATGCCACATAATGATATCACCAGAAGAGTTCCTCACTATGCCACATGGTCTACGTTGTCCTTGTCTTCAACTGCCATCCCTGTTTAGTTTTACTTATCCTAGATTAGGTTTGGATAATTCTACGTTGAGGTGAGTATTTCTCGATGTGGTTATAGATGTTGCTCCTGGAAAGCGTAGTTTAGATTTTGGAAATTGAATTTGAAAGCTGATTTGCAAGATGCTAAGAGGATCGTTCTCTAATTTATCAGCAAACTGTCCAACTTGACCTTCTTTGACAGAAATTTCATGTAACGAAAGTGATTAATGAGTAAAGCCAATTCTACAATCAACTTCTTTTTTCTAGTGGCATGTAAGAGATGTTTATGCGAGGAGATAACGGACCAACTTTGATGAAAGCTTTGAAGCATTTTGTTGTTGTAAGCATGAACCATTTTGTAACATTCTAAGCAACAATGTGTTCATTCTCTGTTCCTTGTGATTCGACCAGTTATATTTATTATCTGCACTTTACTACCTACACTTGGTTCATCTTTTCTACCTACAAGGCCGTTTCGTTCTTTTGGGTTACAAATTTTTTGAAAGACATGGTCATGATCGTTGGTTCCTATACATGACCAAACATGCCACTTAAATGCTTCTTTGGTTAACAGACAAAACACCTAATATAGTCAAAGTCAGAAACAGTACTCATGACATACCCCGGCAGAGCTCGGAAGTTAAGTATATTAGGACGAGAGTATCAATGTGATTTTCAGTATAAAAGCATGGTTAGGATTCAACAATATGAACTGAAATCACAAAACATTAGAACAAGATGATTAGAGAATGAACAGATTGTTTACTTAGACAAGGGAACTACTAATAACTCCTTGGATACAAACAAGTGCAATCCAAGCCTTGTCTATTAGCTGAATCCAGTTTCAAACATAAAGTGATAGATGTTAAGTATGTTGCGATTAATACAAACAATAGTGGCCAAAGGTTATATGCATAAATATGTCTTGATGTGATACTTTTATAAAGAAAAATATATTTATCAAAGTTCCATATTTTGACATTTATAATACATTTTTAGCGTTAGATTAACTTCGATAAATTATGTCTATGATATATCTTTTCCAAACATTTCATGAATTGATAAAAAAAACATTTGAAAGTTTTTTAAAACAATTTTGTGTTTCTTTAGAGTTTCTACAAGAACTAATTGCACCACAATGTTATGGGATAGTGGGAAATATGTATATCGATTAAATAAGTGTATAATATATAGGCACTGATTATATATTAGAATTTTAAAAAATATTAGTGAGTAGTATAACAATTCCAACTATTTAAGTGGATCATCACTATTTATTTCTTTGGACCTCACTATTATTTCAAGAAAATGTTGAAAGTCATTTTTCATGTTTGGCCCAAAAGTACCCCATGAATTCAGGTCATTTGCATCTTTAATCCTTGTTCTTCGAGATATAAGTTTATATTTTTACATCATAATATCCTACTAGTATGTCACACACTATTGATAAACATATGTAAGATACGTCGTTGTC